TGATGACAACAGGAAGAACACAGTGGTACCCGCTGGCCTGCCCTTACCCCTCAAGGCCCCTTCAGGAGGGCAGAGGCGGCTCTGTTGCACCGGAGGTGGTGAAGGGGCTGAGGCCACGGCCTGGGGCTGCTTGAAGGCTTTATAACCCAGGAGTATCGCCCAGCAGGGAGATTCCAGTGGAACATGTATTGTGTCACTCCTAGAAGCCGGCCCAGGTCACACAGGACTCCCTCATCTCCGGCTCCCTCCCCAAAGGATGAGGTCCGGGGGTCAGACCAGGAACTGAATCCTGCCTCTGCTTCTCAGTGGCCTGTGGCCCTGGTCTGTCACGTCCTCTCCTCGGCCCCGACTTGCCCATCTATGGAACGGGGAGGCCAAAGCGTCCCTGGGAGGATTCCGTGAGCCACCGCAGGGGAACATCCCGGCTCAGCCCAGTGTCTGGCAGATGATGGGCGCCTGATAAACACTAGCTCCAACCATCATGAGGTCTGAACTCCCGATCTGAGAGATTGTTTTTTCTTCTTCCTTCTGGCAGCTTCTTGGCATCTACATAGACGCGCCTGTGGAGATGTTTTGGAGCCTGAAGAAAAAAAAAAAAACAGACCCTTCCACCTTTCCCAGGAGCCTACTCTTACTGTTTCCTTTCCAACTCCAGGAGCATACACGGGGCGGGGGGATGGGAAGCGGGGCCACCTCCATGCCAGGTCTAGGTGGTGACGGGAGACACACTCCAGTGAATGTCTCCTAAGGAGCTTTTCCTCCCGTCCAGGGCCCATGTCACACCCCGGGACACACACGCTGGGCTTGACCCCACACCTGCTGTGGAGAAAGGCAAGCTCACCACTCAGACACACAACCAGGACGCCTTTGCTGGGGTTTTTAATAGGAATGTTAACCATCTAGGTAGTTGGCTTTGCTGATGCAGCAAAGATGTTTGGGAATACTTGCTTGTGTTTTAAATCGATCGACGAGGCTCTTAGAGGAAAGAAGAGGTGGGTGTGCAGACCTGAGGATGCCCTCTGTGGGTGAGCTTGCGCTCAGGCCTATTTTCGGTGGGGCTGGCATGGCCTGGGCCGCTGCTGGGGTGGTGTTAGATTTTATACCGGACACACGCTCCTGGGCAATACTGCTTGGGTTATAAAGTCCCCAGGGCCTTCACTCCCTCAACGTGAACCTCTTGTGTTCCCAGTGAGCACAAAGGTGAACAAGACACATCCTCCTCACTCTCGGGGAGCTCCAAGTTTCGAGGGGGTGGCAGGTGACAAAGCTGACAATTACAACAGGCTGTGATGCTATTATGGGAGGCAACGCAGGAGCTGCGGGAGTGCTGGGGACTGGCATTTAACACACCAAGGTTGGAAGGAGGGTAGCCAGGGGAAGGCTCTCTGGAAGGAAACAATAGCTAAGCTGAGCTCTGAGCTAAGAGCAAGAGTTTCATAAAGAGATGAGGAGAAGAGGAGCCATGCTCCATCTTCTCCTGGGTGAGGGTTACTGCCACAAGCAAATGCCGAATTACCTGGAAGGGAAAGAGTGCTCCGGGCCACGAGGAACAGATTGTGCAAAGACCTGGAGATGAGAAAAACGTATGGCAGCCTGTTCCTACCCTTTCTGGGTTCCTAGAAATCTGCAAGGCGATGAAACACAGTTAAAGCACAGTAGTGGCAGGACAGTGAACCCCGGGGATGCTGGGATCCCCTACTCCTCTGCGATGCACTGTGGGATGGCAGGTAAGTTGCTTTAGCCCTCTGAGCCTCGGTTTCCTCATCTGAAATGGCCACAGTACCACCTTCCCTGGAGGATTACTATGAGGATTCCTTGAGGGTGCATGCAAAGGGATCAGGCTGATTCTTCCAATCAGGGACCATCTTGGTGCTCAGAGAGGCAGGGGGAACCTAGCAACCCCATGGGAACGGCCTGTTCTCTGGCTGCCCTGGTCTGAGGCTCTGCTCACTTCTCAGGACCCAGCCCGCAGGATCCTGGGAGCTGACGGCCCCACACCAAGTCAGGCATCGCCACACATACATACATCATCTGGTTCAATCTACACCTCCACCCCAGGATCCAGGTGGGTGCACTAACACTCGAAGAGGTAAAACAACTTGCTTAAGGTCACACAGCTCTGAAAAAGTGGGACCAAGACTTAACTCTTACTCGTGGCTCAGAGCAACCAGGATCTTACCAATGTGTTTAAAGCAAGGCTGAGAATATTAAATGCTTGTGCTTGTTCTAAAGGCATGCGTAGTTACTCAGTAGTGTCTCTCTGCGACCTCATGGACTGTAGCCTGCTAGGCTCCTTTGTCCATGGAATTCCCCAGACAAGAATACTGAAGTAGGTTGTCATGCCCTCTTCCAGGGAATCTTCCCAAACCCAAGGACTGAACCCAAGTCTCCTGAGTCTTCTACACTGGCAGGCGGATTCTTTACCACTGTGCCACCTGGCAAGCTGCTTGTTCTAAATACTTTGCATACATCTCTCATTTAATCCTTCCTAACAACTCAGAAGAAGGTATGACTTCTATCCTGACTTCACAGTGCATGAAACTGAGGCACTCAGGGCATGAATGACTTGCCCAAGGCCACATACCTAGCAAGACGCCTTAAATCAGGCCCCTGTCCCAACTTGAGCCCTATGTCCCTGTCCTCATCTCAAACAAACCTCATTCATTGTCTTCACTCTGTTCCTGTCAAAGGACCTTTGCATTTGCTGTGCCCTCTGCCCCCAGTGCATTTCCCACTGGTCTTCACACAGCTTTCTCCTCCTTATTTGGGTCTGTTCCATTATCACCTCCTCTGAGAAGCCCTCCAGGTTGACCCTAAAGAAACATTTCCTTGCCCCAGCCCAGCTCTCATGCCATTGGGTTGTATCTTCTTCCCAGAACTACGGGTTGATTTGTTCATACTGTGCGTCTCCCCTCTGCAATATAAGTCTCTCGGGTCCGAATGGGTAAAAGAGCTCAGACCGTGCCAACCCTAGGGGAGCTTTCCACCTACTTAAAGTTAAGATAACAGAAGGCAGGCGTTCATCCATCCCTCTAGTCTGATTTCAGAACACCCCTTCCCAGCTCTCCTCTGTCTCCCCTCTCTCTTTGGGGTGTGAAATCTGAGTTCTGAGCAGCAGGAAGGGAAGCCATATCTGGGAAAGCAACAGAGCATGGAACACTCAGCGCCTGTCATCCCTACAGGAGGCTGGACCCAGGAAACTGACAAGATTCCCAGCATGCTCTGCAGCCCCATCACCTGTCAAACTGCACAGGCAGATGGAATTCCCCCAGACTGCCTGGCATGGGGGCTGCGAGAGACTACAGCCAGTAAAGCCCACACTTCCTGCAGAGATCCCAGCCTCAGAGAATCCCACTTCCATCCATCCAGACTCCAGGCAGCCAGCGGGCACTCAAGAAATATAATAGAAACAGGGGAAGCCCAAGAAAGTCAGGTCATGGTCCTACCTCCTCTCTCATGTGAGCCCTGGGGCTGAACTAGGCTTTGTAAAACTTTCTGAAGAAATAGTCACACATGATTCAAAATGAAAATACAAAAAAGTTAATAGTGAAAGGCTCACTCCTCCTTTCTCTCTCCTACCAAATCCCCTGGTAAGTATTCATTACTCTTCCTTGATGCAAATGAAACAGTTACAAAAATATACTCTTACTTCTCTTAAAAAAAAAGGGGGGGGGTTCCATATTATGTATATGCACCACACCTTTTTTTTCCCTCCCCTAGAAGACAGCTCTATATTTGTACACAGGAAGGTGTCTGTATACATGTCTGTGTATGTATGCACCTGTATACACACACACACACACACACAACTAATTAAGGGCTTTCTGTAATTTTCACCCAATTCTCCTGGAAAGAGGTATTTAGATTGGGGGTCAGGAGGGGTCATTTTTCAGCCCAGGCACAAATGGCTGGGCGGCTCCCTCCAGCTGATCAACCATGGGCTCTGTCTGCCTTAAACTCCAAGCAGGCACCAAGGGCCTGCTGCCTGGAAATAACATCTCTATCTCCCGTTTTCATGACCATCTATAGTCTACCAGATACTAGCAGAAATCCCATTTTAGAAAGCAACCGAGACTCAGAGAGGTAAAGTGACTAGCCCAAGGTCACACAGCCAGGAAGTGGAGCTGGCAGGGATCACACGCCATCTGCCTACTGTCAAAGCCAGTCTGCCCACTCACCTAGCCTTTAGTGGTCCTCAGTCCACACCCCGCTTCACAGCCCCGTAACAGAACCAGGGGCCCAGAGGTCATGGTCCACAGTCAAGTTCCCAGCTCGGCAGGACTTGGGCGGTCAGGCGCTTCCGCCATCACTTCCCTGCGGTCAGCTCGACCCGCAGCCCGGCCTCCCGTGCGTCCTGCCCGGGCGGACGCTGGGCGCGCAGCCTCTGCGGGGCCCGGGAGTCCAGGCGAGCTCGAGGAAGGTCGCCGAGCTCCGGCAAAGTGCTCCTCGGGCGCTGCCTCGCTTAATTCTCCCAGTTACCCATGGAGCCAGACTCACCTGAACCCATTTCACAGACCGGAGGCGCAGAGACCCGCGCAGCCACCAAAGGTCACGCAGCCCTGCTCGCACCCAGCTGCCGCCGATTTCAAAACTTTCCTCCCCGGCGCATCGCGAAGCCAACGACTTTCTGGTGCGGGGCGCGCACAACAGCTGAGCGCGCCCAGGCACTCGCTCTCCCGGGCGCCTGCTCTGCCCGGGGAGCGGGGAGCCAGGACCCTGCTCCCTCCCGGGTCTGCAGTCGCAGGCGGGGCTTCCCGGCCAACTCCGGGGCCGTTGTGCCCCGGCACTTACTCAGCATCGTCGCAGCCTGCAAAGCGGCCGGCGGGGAACCCATTTGAAGGAAGGGGAGACTGAGGCGCCCAGAGAGCCAGCTACTAGCCCAAGGTCACACAGCGAGGGGGCTCAGAGCCGAGCGGCCGGCAGTGGGCTGGGAGCCCCAGGGCCAGCCAGCCGGCGGTCCCCGCCCCCGTCCCCGCGCGCACCCCCCGCGGGATACTCACAGCCGGTTTTGCCCTCCAGCTCCCGCACCTCCTCGGACGCGGAGTGGGCAGCGCCCATGGTGCCCGCGGCGGGGTGGGGGCCCCGGGGCGTTCGTCTGTCCCAGGCCCTGAGCTGGCGTCAGCTGCGCCGCGGCCGCACCGGCCTCGGGTCCAACGCCGGTCGGGACGCCAGGAACGGGTCTGAGCCGCGGGTTCCGCGTGGGGCGCGAGCGCAGCCTCTTATAGAAGCGGCGGGCGGAGCGCCACGGTCCTAGCGCGCGCCGGCTTCGCCAACGGCCGGGAGTGGGCAGCGCTCAGCCCCGGGCGGGGGACCCAGGTTCCTCAGCCCTCGCAGCAGCAGCCGTGCTCATCCTTTCTGCACCCTTGCCAGCCCTGGGAAGAAGCAGGTGTGAGCAGAGTTGGGGTATACAGGTAGGAGGGATCAGAACAAATGGAGGTTCCACGCCCACGCCCACCCCCACCCCGGTTCCACTACACCTCCTCCCAATTCTCAGAAAGGAAACTCCCTGGGAACAGTGAAGAAGGACAGCGTTAATTAGCTCTACGGTGAACAGCAATAAAGATAATATGATAATAATAATAGCAATTCAGCTTGAATGCACACTGAGGGGGTGCTTTGCTTAGCTTATTCCAGGAGAGTCCAACATGATGAAGTGGACACACCCACAGACAAGACTATCCAGTCCTAGTCGCTCAGCCTAGTAGCTTAGGATGGAGACCTTCTCAAACTTGAAGTTCAGGGACTCAGGCAGAGCCCAGGAGGCTGTATTTCAACCTGTCAGAGAATGCAATCCTTCTGGGAGAAGTTCTGACTTAGGCTGGCTGTAGGGAGTTGGGTTCTGTTAACCAGGATGGGTGACCCCAGCCAGTCCCACCCGCTGAGCTGTCTGTGACTCCTTCTCCTTAAGATGGGGATAATAATAGTTGATGAGAACCTCCATCAGAAGGGGCTTCCCTGGTGGCTCAGATGGTAAAGCGCCTGTCTGCAGTGCAGGAGACCCAGGTTCGATCCCTGGGTTGGGAACGTCCCCTGGAGAAGGAAATGGCAGCCCACTCCAGTAGTCTTGTCTGGAAAATCCCATGGATGGAGGAGCCTGGTAGGCTACAGTCTGTGGGGTTGCAAAGAGTCGGACACGACTGAGCAACTCCACCACTTTCCATCAGAAGGGCCTGGGCTGGGACACAGTGCAAAGGCAGTGGCTGTGGAGTCATGTCCACTTAACAACAAAGCAACTGGTTCTCAGAAAGGTCACACAGCCAGGGCAGAAATTCAAAGTCAACATATTCCCTGTCTCAAGCCCAGACCACTGCGCTCCACGGTGCCTGGTGATGTGTTATTAGCATGTATTTGGGGGCTGTCCTGGGTGCCAGGCTCTGTTGATAGTGCTGGCTGGGGGAGACTTGAGCAGGCCCACTTACATCTATGTCACAGGAGGCTGGGGAGGGGGTGCTGAGAACCAACTGCTCGTTACCTGCAGACCACAGGTCCAAGCTGAGGGTCACAGCCCTTTCAGAGTAGAGGAGCTGTTCAAAGTCACCAAGGAGCTTCCTGAAACCTACCAGAGCAGGGAATCAGCCCCCTCCTGGTTGAAAAGCCCCTTCACACTCTTGTTACTCACTGAGCAGGGGCTGCACCTGGAATGCGCATTTGCAAAAGCTTGGCAGGGCTGAGACCTCGCCAAGCTGGGGAAATGTTGGCTGTGGGGCATTAACTGGTGCAAGCAAAATGGAAAGTCGCCTGGGAGGCTGCACTTCAGGTCAGAAGGAATCCAGAAACCCAGGCTGTCCTCTGGAACAGGAAAGGGGTCCCAGGGACCCTTGGGAATTACCCAAAGCTGCCGGACACAAGTTTTGTTCTGACTTAAAATATCTGTTCCTGGAATTTTATTCTATTAAATTATCCAGTGATTACATGCTGGGGCTTTTTGCTGGGGAGAGAGAAAACGATGTTCTCATGCATCTCCTCCCTTTGGCACGGCTGCTCTCAGAGCTGGTACAGTGCAGCTGGGTGGGGGTGAAAGCCCTGGAACAGTGCCCAGGGGCAGGGAGGGTCACCTGGCTTTGCTCTGGCCCTTGGGTGATCGCCCAGAGACACCCCTCAGTGTATGGGGTGAAGGGAGGTGGTCTCTATTCCATCACCCATCTACACGGTCAACTTCATCTCAAGCCCTGCTGGTCACTGTCAGCTCCTAGACAAGCATTTGTGCTGGTCCCTTCTGCCTGAAACTCCCCTCCCTTCCCTACTCCATGGCAGGGGCTCCTGGATAACAGTATAAACATCACCTCCTTAGAGAGTCCTTCTCAGGGCCCCCATCAACTGTTCTGGGTTCACTGCCAAACATGCCACCTTCACCAGCCAGCAGGAGCTGAGAGGCTGGGCTGTGATGACCATGGGAAATTTATTCCTGATGGCAGGGCTTGGAGGAGTTAAGAACTCCAGGCACGAGGGAGGCACATTGTGCAGGTTTACTTGTTCATTCATTTATTCACTGCCTGTTTATCCAGGGCCTGCTGTGTATAGGGGCCTGCGTGGGTCCTGGAGCCACAACCAGGAATAACTGGGAGCCTCACTTCTGCTCTCGAGAGTCCTGAAGGAGTGGGAGACGGACACACAGGAGGTGACAACACAGCGGGGTAAACAAGGCCCCTGGAGATCGGGACTGATCCAACCAGAATGGCCCCTGGATAGATTCTGTAATAGCCTAAGCTGAGCTTTGGGGAGTCTGTGACTCTCCCTAACTGTGCTCCCCAAAGGACAGGTCAGAGGCACAGATGGCTGGACAGGTTTGGGGGCCCTGCGGTCGCCCACCCTCTGCCTGGGCTTTGCCTTGTTCCCTGGCCGTGATGCCCACACACTGCAGGGCTCTCTGCACACAAGCCTGGGTCACTGCTCTAGGACGTCAGGCCTTTAATTCAATCCAGCTAATGGCGTCAGAGCATCCAGGAGGCCTGGAGTGCTGCGTGGGGTCTGGCTGGGCTGACTGGCTCTGTTGTCTGGAGCCCTGGAAGTGGGGGGCGCCCCCTGTGGCGACCTTTATCCTCCCCCTCACTCAGCGTGACCTTCTTCGGAGCACCAGGAAAACACTTTGGTCACCAGGCAACTGCCTCTCTTCTCCCAGAGGAGCTGATTAAAAACAGCGGTGGCGGTGAGAACAGCTGGTACCTGTGAGCCCGTGGAGGGCAGCCGAGCCCAGAGATGGCGAGGGCCATCCTCGTTCGCGTAAGTGAAGCAGACCATCGAACCACTCGTGGGCAAGTGGCTTTGCTTCCCCGGGCCTCGGCTTCCCATCTGTAGAGTGGGATAATAATGGTGCCATCTTATGATGCTTGCATGGATTCATACATGTGAGGAGTGCCTGACACAGGAAGTGCCATCCAGCAGGGTGTGCAGTGAACAGGCTCTGAGGAAGCAGAGGGGAAGCTCTACTTTACAACCTTGTTGATTCCCCTCATGGATGGAAATCCACCACAGTGGATTTCAAGCTACCAGTAATTGAACAATGGGCTTGCAAAACTCTTGAATGTTTAATCATTTGTTCTCACAAGCTGGTCTGAGATAACTTGGTACACCACTACACAGTCCGCTGTTATTATGACTCATATGTTCATCTGTCGGTTCATTCATTCATCCACCCATTCACTCATTCACTACTGAGTGCTGGGGATTCCGATACTAGAGCGAGGTCATTGGTCTCTGAGGCTGGAAGGAAAGAGATTGGAACAGATCATCACTAGTGGGTATCCAATACACGCCCATTTTATTGATGGGAAAACCAGGGTGTTCAGCATGGGTGGTAAACCAGAATCAGAGCACATATATGAAGCTGTGTAAACGGCAGTTCCTATAATTCACCTGTACTGCCCTCCTGTCCCTCTCGTCACTTAGCTTGGGGGATCGCCCAAGGCTTGGCAGTGTTCTGGGAGCAATATATCACTTTTCTTAACTTGGGGACCACTTAGGAAAGCTATGGGGATTCCAAGAGCCATCTTGCCAGGCCTTTGACTTAGAGAACACCACACATAAGTCACTTCAAACAAGGAAGGACATCGTGCTCTCATAAAATACATCCAGGGAAGGAAACCCCAGCAACGGCTACACCAGCATCTCGACTCTGAAACAAGTTTCCTCTTACCCTCATTTAAGCCCCTTACACTGGTCTCATGTGTCTGGGCCTCTCAGTTTCAGTGTGAATGAATGAGAGAAGAATCAACCCCAATTTGCATTTTGAATTAAAGTTGTCCTTTTGGTTATCTTTCAAACAATCCTTTCTCACCCAAGGCACCTTAATCTTTGAAGCTAACCTTGGATGACGGTGCCCTGTAGGAGATGGATTCAGATCTGAGTTGCATCCAGGCTCTGCCACTCCCCAGGTAGAGTGTGGCCTTGGGTTGGTTCCTTAGCAATGCTGAACCTTGATGTCCTCATCTGTATAATGGGTCCACAATCCCATCTCTATAAATAGGACTCAGCAAGGGTGTTTCATGGCTAGGTGACAGGACTGGGGGTGGATGCTGAGCAGGCCACCTTGGTGACCATGAACTTGACCAGTCGGGCAGTACCACTGGCTGGGATCCTACCACCTGGCTCGTCTCAGCACCTCCTCAGCCAAGGGGAGGGCGTGGGGGCAGGCACAGACATCCCTTCCCTCTCTCCCTCCATCCCCTCACTCCTGGGGCGGCTGAAAGTACAAGCCGGACCGCCTGAGTGCCCGGGAGGCAGGGTGATAAACATATGCTGGGGTGCAGAGCCGGGTGCAGTCGATAATTTGGGGCTGATTTGGGACAGGATGGAGCAGGTACCTCCTGTCTGGGCCAGACGGAGGGCAGAGACAGGCTGGGGCGGGCGGGGTTGAAGGTGGAGGTGAGAGGTGGGCCCAGGTGCCCCACCCCGCGCGCCCCTCCCCCGACTGTGCTGACTTGGCAGCACCCTGGGTGCTCCTGCTGATTGGGCACGCTTCCCAGATGTCCACCCGGCAGTGTCCTCGGGCTGCGGACAGCAGGGACGGGAACCGCATCCAGTTCTACCCTTCGTGGAGAACGACGATGTGGATATGAAGCAGAGACAGGCGGCTCCCCGGCTGTCCTTTTGAGACCCCTTAAGCAGAGGAGGCATCCTCTCTGCCTGAGAGACTCCAGGGTGGCATCAGGGATGGCTGGGAGACAAAGGTGCTCTGCGTTCCTCGCTGCATGTAGTAGAGACAGGTGAAAATCCTGGGCAGGGTTGAGTGCTCTGAGTTGGCCAAGGGGCTGCTGCGGGAAGAAACGCCGGGAGAAGGAGCCCCTCCTCCTCCTCCTGCAACAGAGGGAGCCAAGTTGCGAGGGGCTCCAGGAGGGATCAAAAGGCCCCTGGGAATTGACTAGCTCGACCCTTTCATTTTCACCAGGGAGGAAGCTCAGGTCAAGGTCACGGGGGTCTAAGGTCCAAAGAGGGAGGGCGTGCAGAGAGGACCACGGGCCTCAAGCCCAACCTCCAGATGTCACAGAGTGAGGGGAGGCCTGGGGATCCTGGGGAGGGGGCGGCCAGCGCCGACAGCAGGGAACTCACCTCCGTGGAGCCCCTGGGCTTGCCAGTCAGCAGAACAGGAGAGCAGGTGCTGGGCGGGGGTCCAGAAGAGGGCTTCTGGAAAAAGCCATCCTTCCCAGGAGAAATTGGTCACCCTGAGGCCAGGGCAGACAGCACTAGGGCTGCCCCGAAACCCGCGGGGGGCTCAGACTGCTGTTTGCACTCGGGGCTGAGGAGCCAGGACCCTCCAGGGGCTTAGGGTGAGGCCTGGGGGGTTGGCTGACAACAGAAGCCCCCTCCCCCACCCCTGTCTTCACACTCTACAGACTGAGCCTTTATTTCCTCTTCAGGAAGGTGCAGTCAGAGGACTCATTGCTTTAGATCGTCTTCTTGACATTCAAAAGTCAAGAGCAGAATTTTTCTTGAGATGCAGAGATATAGATTTAGAAACAGCAGCGCGAGGCTACAGTCTCTCTGAGGACTACTTGGGACCTGCAGGGCGGCCCTGGCTGCTGGGGATCGGGCAGCCAAGAGACCAGGTGCAGAATGAACCGGAGCAGCATCCTCAGATGCGGTCGCACCTCTGAACCACCAGTGTGCGTGCGTGTTTAGTTGCTTAGTCGTGTCTGACTCTTTTGCAATCCTGTGGGCTGTAGCCCACCAGGTTCCTCTGTCCATGGGATTTCCCAGGCAAGAATACTGAAGTAGGTAGCCATTTCCTCTTCCAGGGGATCTTCCCAACCCAGGAATTGAACCTATATCTCCTACAAGGGCAGGCTGGGTTCTTCACTGAGCCACGTGGGAAGTGTTGAAAACCCCCAAATGCTCAAGCCACACCCCAAACCCCAATTAAAGCAGGCTGGGGGTGGGGATCTGAATGTTAATCCCCCAGGTGATTCCAAGACATTACCAAGCTCCAGGCGCACTGCCTCCATCCCAGCTGTGGTGACAAACAGCTGGGGAGGTTATAGCCTGAAATCAGCATCCCTGGGGTGGGGGCTGGGGTTCCCAGGTGTTGTTTTTATAAAGGGTGGAGTACGATGAAGCACATGGACAGGGCGGTGTGACTCCTGGGCCACCTGGGTGCAGTGTTTTCTTGGAGAGTCCTGGTAGCATGACCTTCAGCTGAGACCCGCCGCTGGGCAGCTGTGCGGAAAGACGCAGCTCGTTAACTCCACGTCCAGAGATGAGAGCCTTGAGGGCTGTAACAGTGCACCCAGGGACAGCTCACAGGTGGCACTGTGTTAGCCCTTCTTCAGGGCCAGTCACCCAACCTCCGCCCCTTTAAACCCAGGGAACATCTGGGGCCTCCCAGGGAGATCCGCTCTCTGTAGGGACAGTTCTGGTTAAGGAAGCCTCAGGAACTTGGGGAGAACATCAGGGTGCCCTTGGGCAAGTCCTCTCTGGCTTCAGTGTTTCCCTTGTTTTTTAAAAAGACTGACTCACCCTTTGCCCCTCCTTGAAGGACGAGGGTGAATGCTTGGGGCTCTCTGAGGGTCAGGTGAAATGAGTTTTTAAATGATGGTTTTTCCAGCCCCGCCTAGATGTCAGAAGACAAAAACTGAACCTTAGAAAGGGGGAAACTGAGGCTTGGGGTGGGCGCTAAGTTTTGGGGAGCCAGGGTGCAAGGTCAACAACACATGCAGTCACAATAACCCCCAAAGATCCCCCGTGGACATAAAGTATGAACCTTACAGTTTCATGCACATGGCCTGGTGCAGTAAATATGCAAAAGGTATACATGCAAACAGTATGTGCAGTAACATACTGCGCAGGAGCGCTGGCAAGACATAGTTTTCAAGAGTATATTTTAAGTTGGAACTTCCCTTTTCTTTCTCCTCCCCTCTAGTACTTCCACTGAAAGCTCACAGCTCCTGGCGGGGAGCCATAGTTTAACCTCAGTTTGACTTAATCTTTGTACTTTCTCTCTACCCAGAATTTATGAACTTCAGAAAAAGTCAGCAGTTACCTGCTGGGGCCTGGAGCAAGTTCTGGACTGGAGTCCTCCTTTCCTTAAACAGCAGGAGTTCCCACACTCGGGTGTGAATGAGAATCCCCCAGCAGTGGGCTGGGCTTGGGGCCTGGGGTCTGCACGTGTTAGAGGCCCCTCAGGCATCACCCCTGAGGCAGGGGGTGGAGGTGGGGGTGGCAGGATGGAGGCCCCTAAGCCCTCTTGCTGCCCAGGAAGCATCTAAATGCAAAGGGGCCAGGCACTGCCCGCCTCTCCCCTGCTGACCTCTGCTGTCCATCCCCAGTCCACTGGTCAGGTGGCCAGCGTGGGGCCAGCAGTGGGGTGGTGAGGTGGGAAAGTGACAGGTTAGTTTGGCTTCTTGACATTCAAAAGTCAAGAACAAATCCCACCTTGGGAAACACCTGGCCCTGTTCCAACACCTTCATTGAATTCCCCAGGCTCAGCGCATCCCTCTGGGAGGTGGCGGGGGTGGGCAGTGAGGCTGTTCCGGCAGCTGTTACCCACCCCCCAGCCCCCCAAGATGCTGCTGCTCTGCTCTGACGTCACCAGAAAACATCTCCCGTCAGGCCTGGGCAGCTATTCTTAGTCTGGAGAACACACCTCTGCCTGTTAGAAGTCTCTAGACTTGAGCAGCCTTTTTATAAATCACTTAGAAACTTGCAGCCTGCCGGGGGTGCTGGTTAAGTACTTCTTTCTTGCACGCAGGATGTTCGACAGTCTCAGGGGTGGGTGCACCCCGCCCCCTCCCTCCCCCGGGAACCTTGCAGACAATGTCGTTACATCAGCAGTGATCACTTCCAGCGACTGAACTTGCACGAAGCCCTTCAGCACTAGCAGCAAACAGAGGGTGTGTTCTGTGTGTGGAGCTGCGTGTGAGTGATTTCAGGGGCAGGTACAGTGTGGCGATTATTACAGAGCCCCTGGAAGACCTGGTTCAATCCAGCCTGCTGGTCATGTGACCAAGAGGAGTTCACTTTGCGCATCTTTGCCTCTGGGGACCCCGGACACGCACCATCGCGAGGGCGCCAGGTGCTGTGAAGGCGCTACTACTAATGCAGCTGCTCAGTTGTGTCCGACTCATTGTGACCCCACCGACTGTGGCCCGCCAGGCTTCTCTGTCCGTGGGGTTTTCTAGGCAAGAATACTGGAGTGGGTAGCCATTTCCTACTCCAGAGGATTTTCCCTCCCCAGGGGATCGAACCCGAGTCTCCTGCATCTCCCTGCGTTGGCAGGTGGATTCTTTATCACTAGTGCCAATCACTAGTGCCACCAAAGTGAAGATGGCTAGACCTTAAACACCGAGTCTTGGAGCTAGGTGAGCCCTTGGGGGTCTGCTGATCCTGACGGGAAGATGAGTAGCACGCTCCATGGAGGTCCTCGTCTCTCTGCCAGCCCAGGGGAAACGGAGACCCTGCTGCAGGCTAAATGACCAGCCCATGCGAGGTAGTAACGGAAGCTTCTCTGGAACTTGAGTCTGGTCCACTGCAAAGCAAGGTCCGTTATGACACTCTGCTGCCCCCTAGGGCCTGGGGGGAATCAGACACTATTGCGGGGCTCCCAGCCTCCCTGAACCTGTAACCAAAGGAAAATCAGCTCCACTCTGTCCTCTGTCCCCTGGGGAAGCCATCCTCCTCCACCATGTGGTTCTTTCCCCCTCTGAGATCTGGAGTGGCCTGTCACTGAGCCTCAGTTTCTTCATCTGTAGAGTGGGTTGGTAATAACAGCATCCACGCTGCAGAGTAGACAAGGACTAAATGATGCGGCTTTTCTGAAGGCATAGTCCCCTGTCTTCTCCTCTTGGCCCCATCAAGTTGGGGGGCATCGTCAGCCTCCCGGATGAGGTAGCCCCCCAGCCCTCACCCCACAACACCAACTGATCTCCGAGATGTGCTAAGGCTGGGAACACTCAGGTCTTTTCCTTGATCTCCTCACAGACCTCTGGGTGTCCTCTTTGGCTCAGATCCTCTGGGGATTTGTACTGTTCTCTTATTAGGTTGTGTGACTGTCTCCCTCAACAGACACTGAGGCTTGGTGATGACCTCGCAGGAGCAGGTGTCCAGGAGAATCAGAATGATGCTGGTCTCCATCTGCTCCCTTCATCCCCAGCCCCACAGGCATTACGGAACAATCCACCCAGCGTGGTGAGGCTCCATCTGGGGGCTTGATCCAGGCATTTCCCACATTTTTTCACATCTGCGAGGGACACCACGCTTGCTGAACTCACTGCAGGGCCAGCACCTCCTGCCGGCTCCAGGAGGGAGAGCGGAGCAGAGAAAGCACAGTGACATGAGCCCCAGGGTCTCTTCCAGGCCCCACCAGTCTGGTGGGTTCCAGTTATCAAGGGGGTTCCTCACTCCACTTCTGACCTGATGAAGGTTGAAACGTGAGTGAAAGAAGGGGTGAGCCCTTCATCCAACAATCAGACTCAGCAGACCCCTCCTGAGATGGGAGGCAGTCCTCATTTCCTTGTCTGCACTTCCCTGACACAGGGTGGGACACCACACAGCTGGTTTCCTTCCTAAGACCCCTCTGATTCATCCCATGAGACCACTGTCTCCTCCTCGTGCCTCCCATAGCCACCGATGGGGAGATGGCAGGGCACTCCCAAAGCCCGGACGGTTCTACGCCCCAGGGAGACATAGCCTGTCCTGGTCCTTGGGGCTGTGGGGACAAGAACTGAGTGCTGGTTCCCTGAGTCACTTACTGGAGCCAAGGAAGGCCAGGTTTGCTCAGCAAACATGACCCCAAAGAGAGCATTTTTGGAAGCTACCGCCCCTCTCCTGTGACTTTTCCCAGCCTGTTGTGTTCTCGTGGAATTGTGGCAGGGTTCCACAAGGCACCGATGTGTGGCTGAAACCTCACCCCGGAGATCTGCCCATTCCTGGACTGCTAAGGGAGGGGCACTTTCATTTAAAATGAAAGGACCACAGAGAGGCAGTGTCTCCAGGCAAACAAGCAGGGCCCTGGCAGATGCAAGGTGGAGAGGAGGGCAGATCGCAGCGAGGACCGATCAGGAGTGGAGTGGGTGTGGAGAAGTCTCCCTCGGCCTTCAATCTGTGCTGCTCAGCAAGAGAAATGGCAGAAGTAGTAAAACAAGCCGGGAACAGATTTTGCTTTCTTCTGAGTCACCCAGGGAAGGAAAATGGAAAATTACCACTCTCTCTCTCTGTGGGAACACGAGTTACTCGGAGAGGACAGCGGAGCCTGGGGTGTGCGGCCAGCTGGCAGGATCCCTGGGCCATCCTGCGTGGTGGCCGCTCCGTCCTGATTGTCTCCGTGCGCCTGTTCTGTGTCTTCTCCTGGCAGGTCACACAGTGCTGGAGCTTAATGCGCTTTTAAGGCTAGGGGTACAGTTCGCCTTGGGGAGCTGTGCCTCCTGATTGGGGGTGACATGCTGGATGCACCTCACCCAGACAGTGACACTTAGCAGAATCTGTCACTCTCAGAGCAAACTACAAAACATATGCCCCAGCCCCTCTCACCCCAGAACCATCTGTCTCTATTACCGCAGGACGATGCTGCTGGGAGGGAGACTTCTGCCTCCCCTCCCTCCAGTGGGGCTCACTGTAGGGAACCACAGCGTCACACATCAGACATGTGCACCTCAGCCCCGGAACCAGCCCTGTGTCCCCCCTCACCCCCACCCTCAAGCTCCAAGCAGTGGGCAAAGCAAACCAGAGTCAGCAACCCATGATAAATGGTGCTT